TTCTATGTTATTTAATCATTTTCATTTACATCACATTGCTAAAAAATCATTTTATTATGTTTGTTATCTATATCTTGCATCCTTCTATTTTATTTGGTCATTTCCATTTGCATCACATTGCTAAAACAAAAAAAAAATCATTCTATTGTGTTTGTTATCCAATAGTCTTGCATCCTTTTATATTATTTGATTATTTCCATTTGCGTCACATTGCTAAAACAAAAAAAAATTATTTTACTGTGTTTGTTATCCAATAGTCTTACATTGTGTTTGGATCTTTGTCAATTGATCATTTTCATTTGCATCACATCACCTCATCACATTACTAAAAAAAAAATCATGCCATTGTGTTTGTTATGCAATAGTCTCATATTTAATCATATCTTGTCATGTCAGGGGCAATTAGGTCCTTTCATAGGTATTGCATGGCCCACTAAAATATATGTTCTATCTTTGCTTGTTACTTATGTAAGAATTCAAAAACACACTGTTTCATATACTTATATAAGAACAAGTAAAAAGAGGCAACTGTGAACACTATATTTTATCCAGACATATTTAAAATTTAATAAAAATAATAATAAATAACCAAAAAAATATATAAAAATATAAAAATTAAATTTAATCCTTTTTAGGATTATATTTTTAAAAAAATAATTAATAGGGTTTAATTTTATTTTAGATAATCTTTTGTTGGTTAGGATTTTATTTCTTTTAGTTCATCAAAATAATCAAAAAATATAAAAATATAAAAAAAATTAATCCTTTTTAGGATTATATTTTCAAAATAATAATAACAACAACAACAATAATAATAATAATAATATAACAAAATTAAAAAAATCTTGTTTAAATATTTTAAAATCTCTCCCAAATTATCCCAACCATTCAAAATATTGAGAATCAACTTTTGAGAGTTAATTTTCTTTTTCTTCTTTCCTTAAATCTTGTTGTTTTTCAAAAAAAAAAAGAGAAATATTCTAGTTTAACTAAAAATCAATTTTTTTCTTCTTCCTCTTAATCTAATTCTTGAAGTTAATAAACAAAAAAAAAAAGAGGAACAGAACGTGCATTTTGCATGAGCTTGAGAGAGGAAATGAGAAAAGAAGCAGAATGCCAAGCACGTGCATTTTGCATGAGATTGAGAGAAACACAGAGATCAGCACACGCACATGAAAAAACACAGAGAAAAATCCAGAAAGCAAATGAACACAGCAAATGCAAGAACAGTAGAAGCAGATAGCAAATAGAAACAAAGTCAGACACATGAGCGAAATAGCAGACAAAGCATGAAGCTTTACCTCTAAAAAAGAAACACATGCACGTATGAAGAAGCAAAGAAAAATCGAGTCAAAGACGCACGTATGCGCATTGCAATAGAAAAGAAGAGAAAAGGAGAAATTAGAGATGAGACATGACAAGAGAGAGGTGGAGAGGAGGATCAAAAAAGTAGAGAGAGACTGAAAGAAGAAAAATAGAGCACAAAAGGAGGCTGGAATGAAATAGGAATGGAGTAGAAGTTGAGGGAGAGATTTTCAGAGAAAAAAAGAGAGCTAACCAAAAGAAAAGAGGAGGACTGAATTTTTGCTCCTGGAGGCAAGAACAAACAAGAAAGAGATAGAGGTAGAAAAATAAAGAAAAATAGAGCATGGAGGTGGCAACAGAAAAAAAACAACAAGAGAGTAACAGCAAAGATTTCCTGAGAACAGACGAGAAAAAACAAGAGAGAGATTGAGAAGGAGAGAAGAGGCCAAGAAAGAGAGTGTTGGATAGTGATGAGCGAGATTCGAAGAGACCGAGGAAGGAGAGAAGAGGGAGTTGAGGACCTAAAAAAAGAGAGAGAGACAGAGGTGATGAAAGCATTGTCTTGAGAGGAAGAAGAATGCATATCTGGAATCACAAGCTGCTGTAACTCGAGGACATGGTCATTGGTAGTTAAATCAGGTAATATTTAAATAATGTCATCTCCCTTAATCTAGATTTATTGATGAACATATATACATGTATATATATATATATATATCTTGATAGATATTGAGGGTGTGGATTGATCTGGATATATGTTTAGGCATTAAAGATTTAGGGATCAAATATTTTATGCAAAATTTAGAACATACCTGAGAGGTATTTGACAAAAAAAAGCTTGTGAGAATATTATTGATAATTTGTGAGATTGGTTGTGATTTGAAGCCGTATCTATCATGGTTATGATCTTGCTAAAAGTTTATGCCAAATCTGAATTTTTTTAAGAATATATCCTCAAGTCAAAAGAATAGTGAACTATCAAAATAGTTTATTTCTCTATTCTTTCCGTTGCCTTTATTGCATAAATTGTTTAACCAACTATAATATTATGCACCGATTGCAAATGCAAATATTTTGATTATCTATTTGTCATGTGAGATTTTAAGAATCTTCGTAGACATTTAGAATGATTTCATACTGTGTAAATCAATAAGATTTCACAGGTATGAGGATCAATCTTGAATGTATTTATATAGGTTCCAAAGGAACATTATTAAAATTAATTCTCTTTTTATAATAAATATTTAAGCCTCATGTGAAATTTCAAGAATCTTCGTAGAGACTTAAATTAATCACATCATCGTGTGGGATAATAAATCCTCGCAGATATCACAATTCTCAATTTATATGAATTTTGTAAAAAAATAATAAACATTTCTTTATACAATTAATTAATTAAATTAATAAATTTAAATTATAATTATATTGTCCAATTAGATCTTTTGGTCATGTGAGATTTTTGAAACTCCGTAGACCTTTAGAATAATCATCTTACTGTGTAAGTCAATAAGGCTTCGCATGTATATTAATTAAGATTTTTATACTTGAAAATATACATTGCATAATTACGTATTAAAATATATTTAAAGTAAATGTTATTTAATATTTTTATTGTGTGAGAATTTGAATCTCTGTAGATATTTAGGATAATCTTGTATTGTGTAAATCAATAAGGTTTTGTAGATATGGGAGTATAACTTATATTAATTTTAAAGGCCCATCATTAAAATTAACTCTCTTTTTATAATCCAAATTAATAATTTATTTAAGTCTTATGTGAGATTTCAAGAATCTTTATAGAAACTTAAATTAGTCACATCATCGTGTAGGATAATAAGTCCTCGCAAATGTAATAATTCTTAATTTTTATAATAAATAAATGATTTTTGTAAATAATCATATAATACACAATTTATAAAAATTAATTAATCAAATTAATGTATTTAAGTTATAATCACATTTACCAATTATATCTTTAGTCATGAGAGATTTTTGAATCTCCATATACTTCTAAGATAATCGTATTATTATATGAATTAATAAGACTCTGCAGATATAACGATTAAGTTCTTTTAAAAAATATATAAATTATATATATTAAATCAATCAAATTAAAAATGTACTTAAGTGTATATTATTTAATCTTTTATTGTATGAGATTTTGGAATTTCTATATATATATTTAGGATAATCATATTTCTGTATAAGTCAATAAGGCTTTGCAGGTGTGATGATGAAGATTTTTTAAAATCATATACATACATGCTTAAACAAATTATTACTAATGCTTAAAAATATAAATAAATTAAGATGCTAAATTCTTTTATTGTGTGAGATTTCAGAATCTCCTCAGATATTTAGAACAATTATATTACCATATGAACTAATAAGATTTTGCAGGTAGAGCGGTTAAATTCCAAATCATAAAATATAAAAAAATAATTTTAAACTCTTTTCTTTTCTTTATTTCAAAAATTCAAAAATTGAGAAAATAATTAAAATTAAATTACTTTTTGCAATTTAAAACACACATATCAAAAGTTCAAAAATCATTTTATTTGCAAAATGGTGAATTATTTCTAACTAATTTCTCTTCAAAAAATATTTTCATCAATAATTTTCAAGCCCGAACTACGTGGACTTGATCCCTATCACAGAGTACGCAGGTCTCAGAGTCTAATTCTAAGTCAAGTCCTCTCTCATAAAGAAATAAATAATCTCCATTTTATTATTATCATTTTTTAAAACACGTGAATAAGAAAGGAATAATTAAAATAACTGCAAAGCCATATTAATTTAGCACAACAAATTTCAGGTAACCGTTCTCACAAATGGTGTTATGGGGTGCCTAATAGCTTCCCCATACTATACTTATTCTCCTTTAATTGGTTCCTCAAAATTTTGATGGTGACTCTCGTTCTAACCGGTTCCCACCTCGAAGGCCGGAACTTCCGTTCGCGTGTCATTCACGTCGCATTTTCAGGTGCTACAACGGTGATTACTAATGAGTTTTTTTGGAAGGAATTGCAAGAAGCACAATTAAAAGATCCATATCTGTTAGAAGTTTGGAAGAACATTGAAGAGAAATGGACTTCAGAGTTCAGTTTCAATAATAATGGTTTTGTGGTGTATCATGATCGAGTTTGTGTTCCTGACATTAAGGAGATTAAGGATACTATACTATCAGAAGCTCATCAGAGCAAGTTTACCATTCACCTTGGTGCTATCAAGATGTACTAAGATATGAAGTATTGGTGGTGGCATGCTATGAAGCGTGATGTGACCGAATACGTGTGCAAGTGGTTAACTTGTCAGAAAGTCAAAATTGAACATTAGAAACAATCTGGTATGTTACAACCATTAAAAATTTTAGAGTGGAAATAGATAGCATTTTGATGGATTTCATCATGGGTTTGCTCCATACTCAAGCAGGTTATGATGCTATCTAGGTTATTGTGGATAGATTGACTAAGTTAGCTCACTTTTTGGCTATTAGAGTGGATTATCCTTTGGAGAAGTTAGCTAAAGTGTACTTACAAGAGGTAGTAAGATTGCATGGAGTTCCAAAGGATGTAGTGTCAGACCGTGATCTAAGGTTCACGTCGAACTTTTGAAAAGCTTTAAATCAAGCTATGGGGACAAAGCTGAAACTTAGTACTACTTACCAACCCTAGACGAATAGCCAAACCGAGAGAATGAATCAGATACTGGAAGATATGCTCAGAGTATGTGTTATTGAGTGGACTGGTAGCTGGGATAAACACCTACTATTAGCGGAATTCACATATAACAATAGTTTTCACTTGAGAATTCAGATGGCTCTTTATGAAGCTTTATATAGGAAGAAGTGTCGATCACCACTTTGTTGGACCGAGTTGAGTGAGAGAAGTATTTTGGGTCCCGATTTGGTGGATCAAACTACTCAGAAGATAGAAGTGATTCGTCAGAAGCTTTTGACTGCTCAGAGTCGACAGAAAAGCTATGTTGACAAAAGGAGGAAATTGTTAGAATTTGAGGGAAGCGATCATATTTTCTTGAAAGTCACGCCAATAACAAGCATTGGGAGATCAATTCGAGCTAAGAAGTTGACTCCATGTTTTATTGGTCCCCTTAAAATCTTAGAACGGATTGGGATACTTGCTTACCGAATTGTGTTGCCACCTTATATAGCGGGTGTGCCTGATGTGTTTCACGTCTCTCAATTGAAGAAGTATCAGCCTGACTCGTCTCACGTTATTGAACCTGAAGATGTTGAGTTACAGGAGAATTTGACATATTAAACTAAGCTTGAGAGAATAGCCAATGTGAAAGAGAAGCAGCTGAGGAACAAGACCATTTACCTAGTTAAGGTGATATGGAAAGGAATGACTCCTGGAGATGCTACGTGGGAGACTAAAGAGAGAATGAGGCAATTATACCCCTAACTATTTCCATGAGATATGTTTTAAGCAATTATGAAAATTTTGGGGACAAAATTTCTAAAAGGAGGGAAGAATTATAACATCCTCAATTTTAAATCAAGATTAATTAAGTTTAAATAGACTAATTAAGTGTATTAGTGAGGTGTGTGGCTAGAAAGGCCTAATAAGCATGTTTGGTCTCGATTTCAGTTCTAAACACGGCTCTGAAGGAGAATCGGGTTACCCGGGAATGGAAGAGGAAAATTTTCTAAAGAAAGTAATTCTGTGCCACGCGTTGCAGTGCATGCATGATAACACACCTGAAAGAGGCTTTATGTGCCATACGCCACAACACATGGTCATTTTTATGCTAAAATAAGTCACAAATTTAGTATATCAAAGAAGAAAAGAAATGAAGAAACAAAAGAGCAGTGAGAGAGCAATGCTAGGGCTTAGGAAAATTGAGTATTGGGAGTATTTTGGAGCTCCTAAACATTAAAGGTAAGCTTTTCTACTTAAATCTTCCTTTCTTCTTTCATTTTCTTGATGGTTGAGGTTAGGGTTTGATTGATAATGGTGATTTTTAGTCTATAAAAGCTATAGGTCTGAACCTATTGACTTAAATAGAGTTAATGGGAGTAGATTAAGCTAAGTAAACTTGGTATTTATAATTTTATGATAATTGATTGTTGGAGGACATTAAATGTCTGAAAATTCTCATAAATATGGTGGTTGGGAACAATGTGGTTTCATTAATGACAATTTAAGAGCTCAATGTTATTAATAAGGGTTAAAGGAAGCTAAGAAGCCTTATGGGTACTTTTATATGAGTCAAGAATAAATCTTGAGTATTAAGAAATGATAAAGTGTTAGAGGAAAATAGATCAAATATGGATATTGATCTTTTACATGGTAAATACTTGTAGAGTAACTACCATTGGCACCATTCAAGCTTCTTGGAAGCTTTGGAAGTGGGTAATTGAGGGGTGAAACCTTTGACTCTCAAAGGTTTCAGGTAACTAGGAAAATTCTATCTTATGCTTTTGTGTGTTTATTAGTTTATAAATTTATGATTGATCTTTGAAATGTGTAAATTAAAAAGGAAATACAAGTATGGCTTGATTTGTTAGAAAATTCACTAGATTGATTTTGCAAGCTTTATGCTGGTGATGTGAAATTCTTTGAGAACAATATCGGTGGATTTTCGTATTATGTTTATTAGGAGTTCAATGATTTTGTGATTTGAGAAGTAATATGAATCTTTGTTATGAGAAGTTCAATGATGTTTAAAATAGTAAAGTTTAATGATTTTTGAAAGTGTGAAGTACAATGATTGTGAAATTGGAGTTTAATGACTTATTTGGTTTGAAGTCCCATGAAAATGTGTTTAAGAAGTCCAACGAATTGTGTAATGATGAAGTTCAATGAAATTGATAATATGGAGTTCTATGAATTGTATAAAGTGTGAATTATGGCATGAATATGCATTGCATGATCTTGAGAGGCAGGAGTTCACCTAGGAAAAGGAGTAGATGATAAACCCATATGGTAAGGCCCCATTCGTGTGATGGTTTTCTTGGATTGATTATATCTATATTGTCCCACTTGTTCAATGAGGGATTGTCCATTGGTTCAATGAGGAACTCGAACCTAACTAACTATCTACTATTTCAATGAGGAGGCTAGTCTAAGGTATATGACACCCCATAGTGTGAGAAATGAAGGAAACCATGTTCCATAAGTGAGTTGGGTGCGCCTTGATCGGGTAATCCCCTCACAAGTGTTTAGGCTAGGGAGGTCATGAAATATAAAATATCCCATTGTGTTATAGCCCACGATTTCTAGTCAAAGGAATAAGGAGTATATAAACGAGGTGTGATCATGCATATAGTGAATAAGGGCACATGACTGTCGGTATTGTGACCCTAATGAAAATATTCATAAATTGAGTGATAATTACTCTTGATTATGTGTAATTTTATTGTGTGACAAACTTTCTGGGATGTGAAGATTGTTGGAAAATTTTATTCCCAAGTATGTACTATTATGCTTGGAAGTGTGAACATAGATTCTCAAATGTGTTACATGATTTAAAGTATTGATATTATTTGCCACGTGCATTTTAAATTGATTGACATGCATTACTGTGGGTTAGTCAAACCTTAGTTACTGAGTGGCTGTACTCACCCCACTATTTTCAATATTACAGGGAATAGCTCAAGAGGTGTAGATAGAGGAAAACACCCAGAGGCTTAGAACCGCAATCCTTTTGAAGTAGGCCTCTTTATTTTGAGTAATTATATGTATATGACAATCTCAATTGCCAATTAGGAATTCTCATTTGTTCCTTACTTGCATTATGTGAATTGTAAATTGTAATTGTATTTTGGGCCGTAGGGAGTGAGTTGATGAATACGTGTTATTGTGATAGGGCCAAAATACTAATGCTAGAAGAGTAAAGCATATTATGAGATGATTTGGAGAACTTGATGAAAATTGTGTTAAACTCCCCTTTTTTATGTTTTTGAGTTTAAGGGGTTGAGTAATGAAAATTTGATCTGAGAGTATTTTATATGATATGGTGCATTACACGAGTTAGTCTTAATGATTTGTATGCGGTCAAATTAGTGTCAGTGGCTATTGGCCTTTGGCATTTGGTTTGAACACTTGATTTTGTGAAAATTATTGTAAAAGTGTAAGTTTTGAAAAGTGTTTCCAATTTTTGTTTTAGAAAGAATTTGAGTCGGAGACTAATGCCATTAATTAAAGCTCGAAAAGAGCTTTTTGTAAATACCTAGTTCGCATCATTCAGACATCAGATGGAGATTTGGGGCTCTTCGAAAGTTAGCCCTAATGCTTTCAAATTGATAGTAGAATTTACTGTCAAAATTCATGCAATTGCACCGTAGCACATAGTGCCACAAGCTACGGTGCGTGTCACAGAGGCAAACACGCTACAGCACATGGCACATGTTCAATGAGCTCCAATGCACGCCTCAAAATTTTCTAAAAATTCTCCTGTTTTAAATTCTTAAACAAATACACTCACTTATATAATAATTCCATGCTTTTGCATATTTGTGAACTCTGATTTGTCTAGTTGCAAGACTTTGAAAATGATTTTAATTTTGTAAACTTAGGGCCCTTATTTTGCTAACCATTGAAAATTTGGTATTTTATTAATTACTATAATCTCATTCCCTAATTACTTGGGACTTGATTTTAATTATGGGATTAGAAGGAGGAGAATATGACAAACTGAATCTCTTAAATTAAATATAGACTAAATTAATGATAATTTATCATTTTTATAAAATTTTATTATAATAAATATAAAATAATATTTTAAATCTGAATCATTTAAATTAAAATTTAGATAGAGTATATCACATCAAATTGATTCTTGGAGCAACAAGGGTGAACAGAGGGGCGGGCGGGAACCTATATATCATTTACTCATTTTTCTTATTTAAAAGAAATAATAACAAAACTATTCCTACCACACAAAGTCCAATTTTATCCAAAGAAATTAATTCATAGCCCGATCTTGTCATGAACCTAATAAAAAAACCCATAGTGAGGTGGGCCATTACCGTATAGAGCATTTCTCTGGGAGATGGGCGTGGGTAGCAAACAAAGAAACAAAATAAAGGGTAATGATATTTTTTAATTTAATCATTTATAAAAAAATTAATTTAGTTTGAAATGTATTTGCTCACTTATACAGGGCCTGTTTGTTTTTCGAACAGATATAATTAATTATAAAAAAATAATTAATATGATTAATTTTGATTGTAATTAATTATGTTATAACATGATAATGTTTGAATATTGTTTTTTTAAAATTAATTTTGGCATAATTAAAAATATTTGGATGATTTACTTAAAATTTATTTTAAATGTATAAATTACCATAAAAGGAATTACTTTTTCAAAATGTAAATATTAATTTTAGGTATATAATATTATTAAATTTATTAAAATCTATTTAATAAATATAATATTATTAAATTTTAGTATAAGAATATAATTTACTATTATTATTTATTTCCCATATGTTGAAGTAAAATATACAAATCCTTTACAAGAAACATTTCTTTTTATAATATAAAAATTGATAAATTTACATATAATATTATTAAATATCTTGAATTTTATTTAACAAATAATATTATTTATATATATAATAGTAATAATTTAATATCTATGTAATAAGGGCAGAAAATGCAGCACCTAGGGTGTTCATGAAGCCCGGTTGCCCACTTGAGCCTAATATAATTTTGCTCAGCTTGGCTTGAAAAGAAGCAGCTTGACATGTTTTAGACACATTTGGGTTAGGCTAATATGTAGGCAAGGCCAGGCGACAGGCTAAGGTATGTTGCCCTGCCCGTTTTGACTTTTAAAAATTTTTTTGGTGACCTTGACTACTTGACTAGGGAGGGAGGGAGTAAAATGAGGGTTAGGTTTTTGAGATTCCCATTTTCAATTCAACCCTAGTAAGTAGTGGCTGTTAGTCTGTCACTTGCTCTCCATCTCCACTCTCCTCTATCACGTCCATCGACCTTCATCTCTACTACTGCAACTGCCTCTCAGCCTCTCGAGCTCTCAATTAGTGGCATTCATCTTCAGCCTTCGGCTATTTCCCGCTATTGTTATTAGCCCATCACTCTCTATTCTCCCCTCTTTCGTCTGCAATTTCGAGCTCATGAAAAGGAAAGCGTGTGACTGAGATGAGTAATGTTGTACTCTGTGACTTCCACCTCAATTTCTCCTTTTTTAACACTTCATCCTACTTCTTCCCTTCCCAGTAAGTCCGTCTCTCTCTTATTCACATTTTATCATTCATAGTTCCATGATGTTTGTTCATAGTCTTTGTGTTC